ACCGCACTGGGAACTATCCCATAATGCATTGTGCACACTGATGGGAATAACAGCGTTATAAATAAAAGGCGTTACTAACGGTGTTATCTTTCTCAGTAACGAGTAATCAGACGAATTACTGTTTCCATGGTTATAATGCCGTTACCGTTAATTACAATAAAATGCGGAGTTACTATAGCCTAATTGAGCTCACTGAAGAGGTTTCAATCCGAGTAGGCTCTCTCTCCGCCATAGGAACTGAAAAGTTTTTTTCTGGTGTGTGTGTGTGTGTGTGTTTATGAGGCGCCGGACTGAACTAAAGCGAAGCGAACGTCGCGAGCATGCTCGACAATGCACAAGATAGAGTGCGTCAGAGAGCGCGCTCGACTGCGCGAGAGAGAGCAAGTGTGTCCGAGCATTATATAGTTTGTTTATAAATAAATGATCAATTTCAGCATTAGAATAATCTCTGTAGCCCATTGGTATCATCTGCAACATTAATTAATTTACATGGTTATACAAATAAAATCTACAAAATAACCTGCAGGGAACGTTCTGGGAATTCGAGTTCTGGGAGCACTTCTTGTTAAACTGTTTATCATTTTAATTTTCACTACAAAGTGTGTATGTATATTTTTTTTATTATTATTTATTCATTTTTGGTACATATAATCATAATTTATTTTTAGACTTATTTGTTAGCCAGTTGTGGTCTGTGCAATATTAAGTATTAAAAGTTCTAAGCCTAAACCTAAAATTCAGTTTTATTGTTCTACTATAGTTATGATAATATTTAAAATAATATATTGAAATTTATAGGCATCTCTCACATTGTCCCACAGCAACATTACGATAGTGTAGATTAGTGTACAATGTTTTATAATAATAAATTTATTAATAATATTTTTTATTAATTAATAATTAATTAATTTTTGTATTAATGAGTAATTTTGATAATAATTGTAATAATTAAAATATTTTATTATATAGTGTCCATTTCATTAATTTAACATATTTAAAATTCAGTGCATCCATGTTATTTAACATAAGCCTATTTTAACTTTTTTTTTTTTTAAAGTAACGCAATAGTTACTTTTCCTGGTAATTAGTTACTTTTATAATGATTTAAATCAGTTACACTGTAAAAAAAAATATTTTCATGATTTGTAATCACAAATTTTTTTTCTTTTGTCAAATCAACTTAAATAATTTATGTAGTTCAGATAACATCATATTTTGAGTTTCTGGTGATTAAATCAATCTCCTTCATTGTATTAACTCAACTTTTCCATTTCAATGAACTTAAATTTTTAAGGCAACCAGGTTGCTTATTTTTTTTTTTTAAGTTAAACCAACAATATTTGTTTTACAGTGTACGAACTCAGTTACTATTTGTGAGAAGTAATTACACTGTAAAACAATTACACTGTTCTCTCAGACTGATTTGCAAACTTAAATTAACGTAAGTAGTATAGAGTATTTATTATGCAGTACGCTAGGATTCCATTCTCAACACAGTCATCGAAAGAGAGAAGAGAGCATGAGGGAGAAAGACAAAAACACACATGCTTTCTTTTTCACTGCTATGAGTGACAGGTTGGCCATGCTCTCTGTATACATAAATAAATTAGAATTTTAATTCTGTCTTTGTGTGCTGAGGCGGGTCTGCTCCTCTACTTACTAACAGTCCGGATAGTGGAATCTGCCGGTCAGTTGACCCCTCAGCCTGATGAGTGAAGCGGTTTAGCTTGTTCCTCTCGACTTTATCTCAATGCCGGCAAATTCACACAGAACCTAAAGGTCACAGACAGCATACTTCTTCCCTTACGGCTTATTTCCAGTGATATCTAAACAGTTTTTTTTAGACTACATGGCATGATACTTATATGCCACAAAGCGAGGCTGCATGATTTTGGGGGTTAAAATCTTATTGCATTTTTTTCTGATAAAAAATTGGGATTCCACTATATTTGTGATGACTATAATAAGAAATATAACTATTGTGATATTTCACTGTAAAATGCAACAATGCAACTGTAAAATTACAATGCTAAAATGTATTGCCTTAATTTCATCACTTTCAAATGTTAAATCATCAAGCTTTTATATTGTCAGAAAATCGCAGCTTCTCTTTTGTTGGCAAAATTACAAGTTTGTGAAGATGTTTGGCACATGTTGCATGTTCCCAAACACACATTATAAGCAAACTAAACTCAGACAAGATGCAGAGATGAGTTTGTGTGGAGCAGCATTTGCAGTGATCCGCTCTGAGATACTGAAAACACCGGTGTCACTGATCGCGTGTAAAAGAACAGTTCCCGCGCTTCACTCTGAAACATGCAACGCATATATTCATTACATTTAATCACAGCCTTTGCAATTTGATAATAGCACTAGTGCATATCGCAATGTTGGATTTATTTAAATTTATCATGCAGCCCACCACAACACATCCGTAAAAACTAGTTTTGATGAAGAAAATGTGAGTGGTGCTTGCCTGTAGAAAACTTGCATCATTATTCTGGGTGTTGACTACGTGGTAGCTAGAGTATTTTTTAGCACGTTTGGGTGAAAAGAGCCAAACTCCAAGTCCCTTTGATGTTCAAGTCACTCCTTCAACGCAAGTCTAAAATGTTTTTCCTCATTTTCTAAGCAATTTGACTGTTTCATTACCAAGTACCACTTAAAAAGCCTGCCTATATAGTGATTGCACACACACAAAGCAGGGATGTGCGTTAATTAACAAATATGCCCCTTGGTCTCCTGCGATTCCACCATGAAACAAACAACATCCACCTTGCTCAAACAATGATAAGGATCTGAGCTAGAATGATCTCAAATAAACGTAAATATTGCATCAGACACGGCTAGCTGCTCTCTTTTAAAGGGGCGCGGATGGGGAAATGAAAAGGGCCGGATTTGCTTTGCATCACAAAGGATAGGCAAATAGAAAGCCCGGAGGCTAAGATGGGAGACTGGGATGCTCCCAGGCGCCCCCTTTAACTGCTGATGACAGAATTAAGTGTGAAATCAGAGAGAAAGAGACAGAGATAGAATGCCATCCTTACTGTACCTCTATTAAATAAGCTAATGTTGTTTGCTCTTCACACTTGCACACACGTTAGATATCCATGTGCTCATAATGTGCTAAAACTGACAGGATTTCATTGTGCGTGATTTGTTAGATTACTGTGAAAGATGAAAGAACACTACGTTAATGTGTTTCCAACTCTTCAGCCCTGTCTGCCTTAATTTCCTGTTTGTCAAGCTTTGATAGGTACATGTTGTACTGCCAACTGTATATATATATATATATATATATAGGCCTACTGTATATAGAGTTCAGGAGATTGAACTCATATATATATATATATATATATATATATATATATATATAAAATGCCTGATCACTCACACTCTTTTTGTCAGAAAATATGGTAAAAACAATTAACTAGCTGTTCATAATGCATTATTTATGAATAACAATTAAAAATGTACATGTTTTTGTATTCCAACTTTGTATTAAAAAAATTAAATTAAAATTGGTCAAAAACCAGCCTGTTTCATTCATCACACTTGAAATACACTCACCTAAAGGATTATTAGGAACACCTGTTCAATTTTTCATTAATGCAATTATCAAATAAACCAATCACATTGTCAATGCATTTAGGGGTGTGGTCCTGGTCAAGACAATCTCCTGAACTCCAAACTGAATGTCAGAATGGGAAAGAAAAGTGATTTAAGCTATTTTGAGCGTGGCAAGGTTAACAGGCCGGTCTGAGTATTTCACAATTACAGCCATTTCTAGGGTTTACAAAGAAAGATAAAGGTAAAAACGTCCAATATGCGGCAGTCCTGTAGGCGAAAATGCCTTGTTGATGCTAGCGGTCAGAGGAGAATGGGCCGACTGATTCAAGCTGATAGAAGAGCAACTTTGACTGAAATAACCACTCGTTACAACCAAGGTATGCAGCAAAGCATTTGTGAAGCCACAACACACACAACCTTGAGGTGGATGGGCTACAACAGCAGAAGACCCCACCGGGTACCACTCATCTCCACTACAAATAGGAAAAATAGGCTACAATTAGCAAGAGCTCACCAAAATTGGGCAGTTGAAGACTGGAAAAATGTTGAATGGTCTGATGAGTCTCGATTTCTGTTGAGACATTCAGATGGTAGAGTCAGAATTTGGCGTAAACAGAATGAGAACATGGATCCATCATGCCTTGTTACCACTGTGCAGGCTTGTGGTGGTGGTGTAATGGTGTGGGGGGATGTTTTCTTGGCACACTTTAGGCCACTTAGTGCCAATTGGGCATCGTTTAAATGCCACGGCCTACCTGAGCATTGTTTCTGACCACGTCCATCACTTTCTGGTCACCATGTACCCATCCTCTGATGGCTACTTCCAGCAGGATAATGCACCATGTCACAAAGCCCGAATCATTTCAAATTGGTTTCTTGAACATGACAATGAGTTCGCTGTACTAAAATGGCCCCCACAGTCACCAGATCTCAACCCAATAGAGCATCTTTGGGATGTGGTGGAACGGGAGCTTCGTGCCCTGGATGTGCATCCCACAAATCTCCATCAACTGCAAGATGCTATCCTATCATTATGGGCCAACATTTCTAAAGAATGCTCAAACACAGTATTAGTATGGTGTTCCTAATAATCCTTTAGGTGAGAGTAGGTTATGAAAAGTGCAGATACAACACACGGTCTCAAACATTGCTCAGATTATCTAAGACACCAAAAATAATATTATGAACCACAACATTTCTCACCTTATCTCAATTCTGACAAAATCGAATCATCTGACCTATATCCACATATATTTTACAGGTCAATATTGTGTTTCATTGTGTTCTCATTTGTTTCTATTGCATTTCTCAATGTATTTGAAGATAAACATCTGAGACAACTGATACTTCTACTAAAACATACTGAGAACTCCATTAGGTCTCCCGAGCAATCAAAGAGCAACATCAGAGCTTCACACACGCATACATACCTGTGGTGCAGGCTGCTTGTCATTATTTTTAGGGGACTTGAGGGCGCTGCTTTGCTGTTGCTGTTGGAGAAGGATCTGCCGTGCAACTTGTAAGGCCTGAGTGAGGAAACAAAACAGAGAAAAAGAAAAATGGTGTGAGAAAACAAACGTTCATGAACAACACAGTTTGGATAGTGTTGTGTTTTGTGTTTGGGGACTGACACTCTCTAGACAACAGCCTTACTGACAATAAAGATCTAAATGATGCCATGTTACAGCTGGACAAGATACTGGTTTTCCATCTCTTCTGTTTTCAAATAAATGTACAGCTTCATTTGGTCACATGTGCAACGATTATTACCCAAAACAAACAAGTTGTTGATAGGAAAGTTATCAAAAACAGCTGCAGGGAACAGAGAAAACACAAGCTGTTATTTAATATGATTGTGTTCAGAATAAAATATTAGCATACAGCATTCTACTGTATATACTAGGGTTGTCATAGTACTGAAATTTCAGAAGTTGGAACCAATATCAGTAAAATTTCTAACAATTTTGGTACAAAACTGTTGAATTAAGAACTTAAGAAAATGTTGTCCTGTTTAGTTTCATCCGTTGGTTGTCACATTCAATCAATGAATCATCGCAGTTTCCGATCCAATCACATATTTAAATGCGGTTGTCAATCCAGAAATTTTGCAGTGCACTTAGCAGCATTTAGCACAAACTTGTATTCAAATTGTGAATGTGTAATAAACCAAAAAAAAGAGAAGATTGCCAGCTCACTGAATTCTGCACTCTCGCGAAAACTCTCTATAATGAAACAAGCTGTCTTAATTGTTTATTTACATTGTGTTTACATTTTGTTGGTTATAACGAAAGGATTGGCGAGCATGCAGCTCGCGTTGAGAAAAACAAAACCTTGAGTGTTTTCAGTGGAATCAACTGGATTCTGACTTCTTATTGACCAACAGTTGATGCCATTGTGTAACTTCACACTCTCAACAGATATGATTGTGATTGTAAAAACACAATCTAAACAGAAACCTATGACGCTTAGTTTTGAGTGCTCAAACATACGGGAATGAGTGTTTGAAAGCAGCCTCTACTGAATACCCTGCGCTCGATACGTCAAAATTAGTTTAGTAGTGATAATTTTGTAGTACCGGTATGTTTGACAACCCTAGTATATACTGTACACTACTTTTATTTTAAAAAAAGGAAATTAACACATTATGGCATTAAACATATGCTACAATGTTGTCACACTACACCATGTGGCATGCGTAATTTAGCAAATGGAGTGTTATCAGCTCGGAAACAAATGATCACACATTTACAAAAAAAGATACATAATGCATAAAAAATAAGTTGTAATGTGCAAATATCAAAACAAACAAAAAGAAGTTAACAGAAAACCTTTTAGCAAATAATGTACTTGCTAAGATAAAATCAACTAGTTTGAAATATTTATAAATAATTATAAACATATAAGTTTTATTAAATATATATTTTTATTATAATTTAATATAATTGAAATGTAATATAATTAATATAATAATAAAAAAAAAACAATCCAAATTTGTGTTAAAATCTCTTCATTCCGTGCTGAGTAAATAATAAGTAAAAAACTCTACACAGCACTGTATACTTTGTTGCCTACTGTAATTTTTGACAACTTGGTCTGGTTATTCTATTTATACAGAAGTTTCATACAACGCTGTCATACTGTATGCTACGGAAAGCTTAGTGTGGTATGCAGACAGTAACTTCTTTCTCTCTCTCTCTCTCTCTCGCTCTCTCTCTCGCTCTCTACATTTATCTGTTCGTCTGCTTACCCCCGCCTTCCCCTGATCATAAAGCAAATAAAAAGTTTATTAGCCTTCAAAATATCTGTCAAAGGACACGGCCCTGTGAGTGGAAAACAAAATACAGTGCAGTCACATGTTTACTGGCTGGACTACTCCCTTCCCCCCCACCATAAATAATCAGACATGCCATCCAGAGCAAACAAAAGCAACGGCGGTTCAGGGGAAAAAAAGTTCTCCAGTTGAGCAAAAAAAAAAAAAAAAAAAAAAAAAAGAAGAAAAAAAAGGGCACCAATACCAAGAAAAGCAAGCAGCGTGTTCCCATAGAACAGCAGGGGCAGACTCACACCTACACCAGAGAACCATCTGAGTAAATAACTGCTTCATTCTTTCCACCCTCATCACACCAAAAACTCCCACAATTCAACAAACAGTCGCAGGAACATCTAAAACCCTTGGGTGGAGTTCAGACTTCATTATCTGATATTAGTGGCTTGTTATTAGCAACCTGATGCTATAAAGGGCTCGAGAAAGTGTGCAAAACACGTGGGTTTGCATTGAATGAGATTGATTGAAATTGACATCATTTCATGTAACAAGTGAGGAAAAGGGGGGTGGTTTTGAGAGAAAGGGCAGGCCTATATTAGAGAGTAAAGGGTTACTGTAAGAGCTCAATAAAGAGATGAGGACTGAAGCGCTGGGCTGGAGATGCCAGCTGTTTGTGTGTGTGTGAGAGAGAGAGAGACTGTGTGTAAGTGAGTGACCTTCTCATGCACTGGAGTTGTGGGATGACATCATGAGGCAGGAATATAATAACAGACTACAGAGGGGCCACTTCAGTGCCGTCTGATACTGACCGTCATCATATGAACAAAAACACATCACGCTACACTATATTACCATATATATATATATATATATATATATATATATATATATATATATATATGAAGAGTTCAGATGCAAAAGCCTCTAAGTGCCATTTGAAATTTTCTTCTAGAATGATAATTTTTATCAAGCTTGTATATTTAAGTTCAGTGATTTCACTTAAATGGCAATGATAATTACCTACTAATTGTTATTTAAGTGAAATTACTGAACCTAAATATACAAGTTTGATAAAAATCATTATTAAAGAAGAAAATTTCAAATGGCATTTAGAGGTTTTTGCATCTGAACTCTTCATATATAGGTAGATATATGGTAATATAGCACAGCACAAGTAAAAGGGTTATATCAGGAATGGGTAACGTCGATCCTGGAGGGCCAATGTCCTACAGAGTTTAGCGCCAACCCTTAAATCAACTGCCTGTAACTTTCTAGTAATCCTGAAGACCTTGATTAGCTGATTAAAGGTAAACTCTGTAGGACAGTGGCCCTCCAGGACCGAAGTTGCCCATCCCTGGGTTATATCAAGATGAATCATATTTGCCTTGACCTTTTGAGAAGCATTCATTTGGAATATTTATGCTCTAAACAATAAAAATGATTATTAAGACAATATTTGGGAAAGTTCATCAAACCTTCTGTTCCTTTCTGGAAGAATACCTGCTGTGCTGAATATCTGAAGGATCCCAACATCAGGAACGAGGTGCTCTGATCTATTCAGACTGAACTTAACCGTTTACGCATCACATTGCCTTCACTACCAATCAAAACTCTTCATCAAATAAGTAAACGAGGCCCGTTTAATACGACGGAGGCTTATTTGAAAGGGACAGTCCCTAAGCCACTCTCTCACCTAAACCACCAGCACCACACTCTCCCCCTCCTCCCACACTGACCGGCCAGGCGCTCGCGCACAGCAGAAAAAAATAAATATCCTATTTATAGAAGCCTAATTAAATATGCATGACAATATGACACTAAAGTCTTGCAGTGCCATGAATGGACTGAAACTCTTCATTTCGTGGTGACTAGCAGAAATGTGAGAAAACCCATCCAGTATATGAACTCAAAAGACAGGGACATGTGGATATAAACAAGTGACATTTTGTGCTCATGTAGGTTTGATTGGCAAAAATTCTTCTGAAAACTGTCAAAAAATACTTGAAAGTATATTATTTTGTGGTTGTTGTGTGTATGTGTATGCCCCTCTCTCCATGTTTTATCTCTTCTAAATCAATCCGAAAAAAAATATTATGCCAAGAAGCAACCATGTGTATATTACTAATTTATGCGTTTCCTCTCAGGTGCTCTTTCTCAGCATTTTGCAAAGCCCCATGTGACCAAGGATAAAAAGTGTTGAAATGAGTCAGACTTCTTTTATAAAAAGTAACACTTTGCTGCGTACGAGTCGACTCACTCTCTCACTCTCGGGTCTGGTGGTTATGCCAGACGGAACGTAAAACACGCTCCCTCAACCGTAAGATAAAGATTACTGCATGAGCACACTGACGCTTTGTTTACACAGAAACTTTTATGACATAAAAATACTTGGTGTGCACAGTTTGCACAGAGACGGTGCTGGAACAAGTATATTTGAGTCAACAGGATGTGATATTGAGACACTTCAAGATGTGGACATAAAGTACAACGTGCTGCTTTCAGTTGTTAATTGCGTCAGAAAGGCTGTCAACAAACACACCAGAAGATCAATCAGGAGATACGGAGGTCTAAAAAAACCAACATTAGGCTACACCAAACCACAAGTCTGCTTCCTGCCGAGAACGCTTTCAGGAGAACATCATCTATATCAAATAAGACTTCACAAGCGCACCTTAAGAATAACAAATTCCTTGTTGTTAATGCAGCTAACGTTAGCTAAAAGGCGTCTTCATCGAATGCGACGGGAAAAAAGGCAATTAAGACAAAAGAGCAACGAAGGGATGATTCAAAGACTCTGTCAGGATCAAAACTAATGAGAAGAGAGAGGATGAACTTGGCACCGTTTCCGAGGTGAGCGCGGGCCCCGGGCGAAGGAATTATTTGCTGTTTAACAAGCTAGCGAGCGCGGCTGACTGGCGGAAGGTTAGCGCCACGCTAAAGCGACCCATTGTGAGCTGTCACTGTGATGTTTACAAAGCGCCCGTCCCCACACACGCACAAACAGCCCCCTTGCACTCCCCCTTTCCATCTCTTTTCCTGGAATTCATCTTCTTTTGATCTGGCATTCAAAGGTAGCGGGGGTTTGATAGACGCGCTAGGCTAAAAGCAGCTTCAGACACAAGCACGATAAACTGCCAGACGATGACAGGCCAGGCATCTGAATGCACGTTTAAAGTGAGGAGAACAACGTGCTGTCTGGGCACTACAATGGCGAATCAAGAGACGTATTAGGTGGAACTGATCGGATACAAAAACGGTTCA